GGGGGGGCGGCAGGGGGGGTTCCAAGCCTCCCCCCTCTCCTCTCCCCACAGGCCGACCGCAAGGAGGGGATGACAGCATTCGTGGAGAAGCGCAAGGCGAACTTCACCGACAGCTGAGCTCCCCGGGGCTGCTCCCACCCTGTCACCCCTGGGTGGGGGGTCTGCAGTCCGGGGGGAGGCAGCCAGTACCTGGGACTGCCTTTGCCATCGCTATTAAAAGAGTTTTCCTGGCGCTGCCAGGAGCTGGGACATCTTGCTGTGGGGTTCACTGAGACACACCCCCCCCGAGGCCGTCACGCTGCTCTTAGAGAGCAGCCTTATGGAACAACAGGTCCCCAGGGGAGGGGACAGCCTGCCACGCCTTGGACACAACACCCGTGTGCTGAATTTGCCTGGCCTCAGCCCCACCTGAGGCTGGGGTGGTGGCCTGAGCCCTCCATCCCCTGCACAGGGTCTCAGGCTGAGCCCAAGCAGGGGACCCTGAGACTGGGGGACTCTCTACTTAGAGGTGGGTTCCTGGCAGCAACAAGGAGCCCACCAGGTCATAGAGAGGAGAATGGTTTTATTGAGAGGAGAATGGCTTAAGAGTGGGGAGGGAGGGATGAGTCCCCTCAGGAAACCCGAGGTGCAGCTCTCAACCCTGATTTCCCAGCCTTTGTCATGTCTCTACTCAGCTGTGGTAGAGGTGGTCACGGTCCTCCTCTGGGCCACTCTGCACCTCCAGGGACAGCACGAGGGGAAGCCCTTGCACATCAGCCTCCCTGGCCTCGTCCTGGGGGTGGTAGAGGTGGTCTCGGTCCTCCTCTGGTTCTGCCTGGGCTTGGTGAGGACTCCATGGAGCCCGGGCACTGCTGGAGAAGACCTTTATACCTGGGTCCACCTCACTGCTCACCCCACCCTCCTCAGGTGGCTCCACGGCTCCTACACCCAGTGCTCTGCCAGGAGGGACACAAACAGTGAGGGAAAGTCACGGTGAATCAGGGTGACAAAATACTCCCCTGCCCCAGGGGATCCCACCCCACTAGGGTAGGATTCCTGTGGGGCAAGAGGCCTGGAGGGGTGGGAGTGTGGCTGCCCCTTACACATCCTTGGCCAAGTCCTGCCTTCCAATGTCACCGGGAGCCTGTGGGGAGAGAGGGGACAGTAGGGGTGGCTCTGAGCACGCGGGGGGCTGCTTGTGCCCCCTCCTCAGGGGGGCAGGGGGGCTCACCTGGGTGTCCCCAGGGCTGGGCAGGAGGAGGGCAGTGCCCAGCAGGAGCATGAGGCTGCAGAGCCAGGCGGCCACTGTGCTGGGGGAGAGGACAGGGGGCTGTGCTGGCAGCACCTGCAGTTCCTGCCTGCCCCCCAGCTCCTGCCTGCCCCCCAGCTCCTGCTGCCC